TGAAGCAAGAATTTTTAAATTTGAAACAAATGAATCGCACTGTATATGAGTATGAGTGTGAATTTAATAAGTTAAGTCGCTTTGCAGCAGAGTTGGTGCCTACAGAGAAAGATTCCTGTGAGTGGTTTGTTGAGGGCTTACGTCCAAGGCTAAAAGAAATGTTGATTGTATTGAATCTGTCCTCATTCCAAGAAGTAGTAAATCGTGCTAAAGCTCTAGAGAGAGCGCAGAATGAACGGTTTGGGGAGCAGAGAGCTCCACCATCCAAAAGAACTGGAGCTTCATCAAGCTCTACACTACCAAAGAGAGGCAGAGATTTTGGTTTTCGACATCAAACAAGATCTGAATCGGTGGCATCCTCTGCTAGAGGATCGAATCAGGAAAGAGCTAGACGAACTCAATCTGTGGGGACTGGTGATGGGCGAGCACAACAGAGTCAAGTTGGGCAGTGTCAGATCTGTGGAAGAAACCATAGTGGAATATGCAGAGTTAAAACAGGAGCTTGTTTTCGATGCGGGGAAACATGACATTTTATGAGAGATTGTCCTTTGAGGGTAGAAGAGTTTGTTCCATAGGAGAGGTCGGTTTCAATGTCCCAGAGGGGACGGGGTAGAGGAAGAGGTAGAACTCAACATGAATCCTCAACTCAGCAGGAAGTTCGCTCTACTGCTCGGGTGTATAATCTCAAAACCAATGAAGACCGGGATGATCCGGAGATAATTACAGGTACCTTTTTACTGTTGGATAAACATGTTATGGTATTGATTGATCCGGGGTCTACATACTCATACATTAGTAGCAAGTTAGTTAGAGAACTGAACATTCAGCTAGAAGCCACCAATAATGAAGTAATAGTGACAAATCCATTAGGGCATAGTGCTCGTGTGAATTTGGTATGTCGAGGATGTCCCCTACGGATTCAAGAAAATGATTTCCCTGCTAATTTGATGGAATTACCCTTCGATGAATTTGAAGTGATACTGGGAATGGATTGGTTGTTTCGTTATTATGGGAACGTGGATTGTAGATTGAAAAGAGTTACGTTGAAAAGTCCGGAAGGGGTAGAAGTCGTGGTGTTTAGTGAAGGGTGGAATCCATTGGCAAATGTAATCTCCGCGATAACGACAAAGAAGTTACTACTACAGGGATGTCAAGGGTTCATTGCTAATGTGTTGGATATTAGAACCAAGGAGAAAAGAATTGAAGAAATTTCCATAGTCACAGAGTTTCCCGATGTATTTCCTACTGAATTACCAGGGTTGCCTCCAAGCAGAGAGGTAGAATTCCAGATTGAAATAATGCCTGGAACTGCGCCTATTACTATGGCTCCATACAGAATGGCTCCAAAAGAATTGCAAGAGTTAAAGATACAATTAAAGGAGTTGTTAGATAAAGGATTTATAAGACCAAGTGTCTCACCGTGGGGAGCTCCGGTGTTGTTCGTCAAAAAGAAGGATGGATCAATGCGTCTTTGCATTGATTATAGACAGCTTAATAAGGTGACCATCAAGAACAAATATCCACTTCCCCGAATTGAGGATCTGTTTGATCAATTAAAAGGAGCTTCAGTGTTCTCGAAAATTGATTTACGTTCTGGTTATCATCAATTAAAGATTCAAGACAAAGATATCCCAAAGACGGCATTTAGAACGAGATATGGTCAAGAACAGATTATTGTTTATACATATATTATTGTTCGCAAATACATTTTTTTACCTCAAAATTTTATACTGAATATATTTTAATAATATGTTATCTTATTTTCCTAAAATAAGTTCAAATGTTTTCATATTTTATAAGGAAAATTATTTTAAAAAGGTAATGTCACATCTCGGACTCGTACTCGGGTCGGGTACGGGTTAGGGGTGTTACAGGCCATGGGTGATGAGGCTGAACCTGCTAAAATATGGGTATATGAACCCCAAGTTAGATCTACAAACATAGACCCATAATATCCTCCAGGAAGGGTCATAAAACTCTGTGACGGTGGTGGCGGTGGGGGTCATAAAACTAGGTGACAGTGGCGGCGGCGGCATCGGGTAAGGGAATGGTAATGGCGACATCACATATGACTGCGGAAGGTAAGTCACTGTAGATGATGGCTGTTGTGAAGGTTCTGCTGGTGCAGCTGAGGATGAACCGGAAGCACCTGCTCTCCGTCCACGAGTCGATGATCAATGGTGCTGTATCGGTGAACGTCTCTATCGAAGTCGCTGAAAGGTCCGCCCTCGTGCATCCTCAAAAAGTAGAAATGATTTCCCGTTACTGTTGAACCACTCGTAATAACCGTCAGCAACCATCAAGAGGTCAGTAAAAATGGACTCTCTATGGGGAAGGCGCCAATGTCAATCCTCCCACAGCACGACCCACTCGTGATGCCTCACCAGCCAATCTATATCGGTCTTGCCGCGTCTATCTGTGCTATGCAGCTCATTCATATTGCGAGGTGCTTCCGGAATTGGTTGAAAACAACCAAATTGCCGAAGCACGCGATCAGTGGAGTGCCACTCGACAATCGCATAACAAATCAAAGGGATCATCACAATCCAAACATCTAATGGGCCCCTCAACTCAGGTGGGATCATCATCCTCACATCATCATTAGAATATGACACCCATTCAAACTAAAACAAATATATATAATTTTTATCAAAATAATAATCTAATTATACAACTATAATCTAAAATCGATTTTTAAATATTAAAAGACATATATGTGTGCCAACCTTCTGATCGATTATCACCATAATTTTTTTAAATCATCAGGTAGCTCTTGATGATTTTTTCTATCAGTAGACCACATATTCAAGGAAAATAAAATTTATTATACATTGTATAAAATGATTAATATACGAAATAAATTTTATAATTACCTCAAGAGTAGTGGAAATACGAATGAGTTCTTGACAACGGGACATAAAAAAGGCAATTGATACCATGCCCAAGACTGCAGCAGTATGAGACATCCGCCGATAACATTTTTTTGTAGTCAGTGGCTCGACACATCTCCGTGTACAAGAAAGCCAAAACTGTCGAGCCCTAACTGAGTGATCCGGCCAGACGAAAGTCGTCAAGATGTCGCAACCACATACAGTGAACTTGGTTGCGCGATTTGTCCGGCATCAGCAACCCTCCTATCAGCTGCAGTATGCATGTCCGTGCATACATTTTAACTTCATCATCAGAGGCGTCCTCGCTCAACTCCCAAAAATTGACATCTAACCAATTTAACGGTATCCGACCACCGTTAAAACTTTCCGGGACACGTCCTAGATAGTCCCGGCACAAAGCAATCCATGAACCGTGCGCCATCCCCGATATCACATCTCCATCCACCGGAAGCCCCAGGTGCATAAAAACATCCTCAAGTGTAATCGTGCACTCTCCAAACGGAAGATAGAATGTGTGGGTTTCTGGCCTCCACCGCTCCACTAAAGCATAAATAAGGTTTGCTTCTATCTTACAGTGACTCTCATATATACCTATGTGACCGAATTCAACCTCTATAAAATACGGCAAGACACGACTAGGTATCACTAACTTAAGGTTCCTAAAAAAAAGATCTAATACATGGTCTCTCTCCTAAAATTAAATAATTACAAAAATTAATTTTTAAACTAATAATCATGCATTAAATAAATAAATAAATTATTACTAAAAATTTAAATTATATTAAAACGTTAAAATGTTACCGTATCAGCAAAATGTCGCGATATATTATTTCCATCCAAGCGAAGTAGACCTCCTTCCATTTTATATCTGTAAAAAAAATTAAATAAAATATTAAAAAAATTAAATACTTAAATAAATTAAAAATAAAATATTAAATATAATAAAATAAACCTTAAACAGTTAAAATAGAATATAAGAGTATTTGAGAGAAGTTGAGATGATTTGGTGTGATGAAAGTGATTGTGAAATGGGGTATTTATAGGGAGGGGGTGGGGTGTGAACGGTCAGGGGTAGGTGGGTAATTAAACCTAAGGCGCATCGCAGGGGGCGCGCCTTACTGACGCGTGTCAGATTTAAAGGTAAAGCGCGGCCCATGCCCAGCGCTATACCTTACGTGGCGCCAGATCAACGTAAAGCGCACTGCAGGGGGCGCGCCTTACTGCAAAGGGTGTTAGATCGGAAAAAATAGTTTGAAGGGTGCCTGACAGGGAAATATAAAGTCAAATGGTGATATATCGGGAAAAACGCCCCCTCATACCCATTAATTAACTATATGAACTTATGCCACGTAAAGAAAAATACGGATCGTCATACGTACAATCGCTAAACTTCTTACATATACGAAAGATGCGAATCATAAAACATGTATTTCAAGAAAAATATTGACATGACATCACATGAAATGAAGCGTTTCAATGGACACACCTTCCAAGGTCCACATATTTCTCAAAACATTTTAAAAAATATACTTTAAAAAAATTTAAAAAAATAAAATTATAAGAACAAAATCGTAATTAAATACATATTAGTTTCATAAGTTGAAGATTTTAATGGGTTAACTCATATAGACTTATTAGTGTGTTTATGTTATGTTTGTGGGATAAAAGTTAACCCTATTAAGCTATCTATTAATGAACACATGAATTGAGAGGCCATGGTAGGGTTACTTGAATTATTTGTGCAATTCTAGTGTTAAGCTAAGCTTCTTTAAACACACAGGGAGAATGAGCCATCAGCCTGGGCTGGTAGCAGTTGAAGAACGCAGAAACCTCTGAAAACCCAATGTAACCGACCCGAAAATGACCTTAGGGAGAACTAAGATAAGATAATATAAGATGAGCCGATGCCGCCACCCTTCTGGTGTGGTATTTGTTGTGTAGATGATGAAGAATTGTAGTACATTGTGATAGTGTAACATACCGGGCATAGGGAATGCATAAACATACAAGAAAAGGTAACTGACATGAATCTAAAACTTGTGGAACCCAGTTTAGAGCATTTGCTCCATTCACAAACCCAAAAAAATAACATAAATTTTAGATCCTTATTTAGCTATCCTCATTCCTCAGCAGGGATGTTTTGTTTGGTTTGCCTGACCTCGAAGGTCTGCTCTGTCCTGTACTTGTACCTATGTGCTGAATACAAGAAAATGCAGAATTGATTATAGAAAGAATTGTAAGCAGCCAGTAAAAGTAATCAAATTTCGCTTGGTTTATATCCTGAGATAGCCTAGATAGCTGCTTATTCTCCGGATTCCTTGTAGCCGATTTGGCGATACTGTTGATTATACTGGCAACGAAACAACCCAAACCGCCGAATAGAGCAGCACACGCGGAGCCTATACTCTTCATTGCATCCGGAGCTTCCTCGTAGAGGAATTCCACTAGGCCGACAATCGAAAACACTTTGGCTATACCGATAAGGCAGTATGGGATCAACAACCAGTATGCACTTAGATCAGGCATGGGAGTTAGGAAATTAAATTCGTAGCCATGTGCTATAGCGTAGCCTCTTCGAAACCTTTCGAAAGCCCTGGCCCAGGCCACGGATAAGATGGAAATAAAAAACCAATGCCTACTCCCTGGAGCTGAGAAGCACCATGTGGATGACCAGTGATGCGTCGTGATATAGGAACGAATACGGGGTAGTGGAGACACAGTATCGGTGCATTAAAGAAACCCTGAGACTTTACCCTCCACTTATCATGCTTCTACGCAGCTCCAAAGCTGATTTTAGTGCAACATCCCGAAGGGTCATATTGTGGCGACATCAACAGCAATCGCAAACAGGCTTCCTTACATCTTCAAGGATCCAGACACATATGATCCCGACAGATTCCGTGTTGGGAGGGAAGAAGACAAGGTGGCGGGGGCTTTCTCGTATATTTCCTTCAGAGGCGGCAGGCATGTTTGCCTTGGCGAACCGTTTGCTTACCTTCAGATAAAGACTATATGGAGCCATTTGATGAGGAACTTTGAGTTGGAACTTGTGTCACCTTTTACTGAGATTGACTGGAATGCGATGGTGGTTGGCGTGAAAGGAAAGGTGACGGTTCGCTACAAGAGACGCAGCTCTCTATTGATTAGGAAGAGATTATGCTTCTGTTGATTTGCAGTTTTAACTCATTTTCTTTAGCATGTTGCTTATTTTGTTCTGTTTTCAAACTTTGGTTTCTTTATGGGAGCAGTCTCTGGATTCTATTTTCTAATTGTTTTTAGGCCATTGGTATAAATACTCATGATCAGTTTGAGGCTTCATAAATGTATATATATCCAGATATGTATTTCCATTATGTAAGCTTCTATACAAAACTTCAGAAAATTTCAGAATTCAGTAAAAGGCAATGAGGTGGTTTGGTGAAACAATGAATGTCAAAGAACAGTTGCATCACCAAGGTTTTAAGTCCCCCACCGGTCCTGCTGTCCAGTTCAAAATCTTTTCACCTGGCTTCAAGTAGATACTCTTCTGATGCGGCAATTTCCGAGCTAGGCCGTTCAGTATTTGATGGAAAGCATCACCCGGCAGTGCAGGTTGTGGGAACAACATGGCCCGTTTCATGGATGGATTAGCGAGAAGCCTCTGTTTCCTTAAAATTACTTCCGGCGGTATTGACGTGAGAATCGTATCCAACTTGGGAACATCTTCTTCTGCAACAAACACTCCGATTTCCTCCCAGGGGATAGCATCAGCGAAGGGTAAAACTATATCATCAGCTATGATAACAGGAATGCAGCCAAATACCACAGCTTCGACCAGCCTCGGACTCCAGGGTGCCCACCCTAGTGGGCACAAGCAGAATACAGCTCGTTGCATATCCTCGTAGTAAGTCGTCGGATGTTCGGTGGAGATGTCGAAAAGTGGATTGTTCTTAAAATTCTCCCAAACAGCTGCCCGTGCGCCTCTGCCAATCACCATCGGAATCGGTGAGGGTTAACAATCAACCTAATAGACTCAAAGCTGCAAAAGAAACATACCTTGCATAGTAGCCACCTTCTGGATCATTATTCACATCATAAAACAATCCGCGAAAGTAAACAAAGATAGATCGAGGAGTATCGAGCGGAATCTTGCGGGCCTGCATCTTTTGAGGGGGAGCATAAGGAGGAATCGTGATCGAACCGTCGTTCAAGCACACATGGTTCCGTTGTCCGAAAGTCTGAACCAAGGTAGCACGCTGGAGAATAGGAAGGATCCCCCGCTCGATAGCTTTTTCTTCCTGTGGAAAGTTCATAATTAAATATCATAAACAACATTACAAATTTAAGCACCAAAACAGCAAAACTAGTACAGAATCAGTCACCTGATAATGAAAGCATGGTCCGAAATCATGCGGCACGACAAAGAAATGGTCGGCACCCTCGGTTCGATTCCAGTAAGGCCAGCTAGAGGAAATAAGCTGAACTGCACTTCTCACCATCCGTGGGGACTTGAAGGGCAATGGCAAGCCTGTAGGTGTAAGATCACAAGTGGCGTAGATAGGGATATAAAACCAATCAGCTTCCTCTGGATTTAGAGTTCGAACAGGACTGGATAAAAGAAACCTGTGCATGTAAATCTCAGCAGCAAACATGTGCGAAAGACATCTAGGATCTTTCTGAAGGATTTTCTTGTTGTATTTGCTCGGAAGCTCGTATACGTAAACTTTTAACTTTCCTACAGGATCATCTTCCAAGACATCACCAGCACTTCCTACAATATTCAAATCAACAACAACTTTTAAGTAACAGAAACAGCAAGTCAAGGAGAAAAAATGAAAATGAACAAGATTTGAATCTAACCAGAAATTCTCTCGGTCCGAGGGTTGCGCTCCGCGGCAATGCTTGAAGCGAAAGCAAGAGCAATAAAAAGAAAACCCCACGACCATTCCCTCATTTTTTTGCAGAATCTGAAGCACAGGGAAGACAGATGGATGAAGAAATGAAGAACATGCATATTTAAGAGAAATGTAAATGTGATGTGTTTCATCAAAGATGGTGGGACGTCATTAGGGGTAGTAGTTGGGTGAGTTTTCTTAGAGTTGAGGTTTTATTAGTTTGGGGGGGTGAATAAAAACTGAAGATTTCCGGTTGGGGAATTGAAAGTGAAAATTGGGAGGCATTGCTTCAAGGAACAGAGTTTTAAAGTGTGATGTTTGAGCTGTTGTGTAGAAAAGAAGGTAGAAATGAAAGCAGAGTTTGTTTTGCCGGTTCAACGTCCGTTAGCGTCATAGAAACTAAGCATGTCGAACCGTGTCGTGTTTTCCAGTAGAAAAATGGGCCTCCATATCCAGATAATTAAGACATTTTGGGCCTATTTCTCTGCTTTAGATCTCTCATCTGGGCTCAATTTCAAGCCTCTTTGAGAATCACAAGTCAGTCATACATATTATTGAGTATCATTTTAATGAGAGATGACCCCGAAGTCATTAAATTATGTGATATATTTTATTTTGTTCATCGGAAAAATTATTAATTAAGTTTCATTTGATTTCAATCAAGTCATCGACCGTTAATATTAATACAATTACTCACGTAAAAGTTAAATAAATGTATAATGATAAATCTGATTTTTATTGCTTATATATTCTATCAATTTGATCATTATTATCATATTTAATCTTTATTATTTATATATTTTATCAATTTACTCTTAATTTTTGTACCCGGAAAGGGCTGTAATTTTTGTTCTAGTTTTCACCCTGCCTTTCACCGACTCTTAAAACCTCTCGTCGTTGTACTAAACCGCAAAGTATTTGACAAAACATGCTCTGCTTGCTGTCGGAGGACTGGTGTACACATTGAACCGGTTGAAGGGTCGGTTCTTGAAATTACTACTCTTGTAATAACTTGTTAAAATCGGCCTCGCCATTAGACCAGAAGGAGTTTTGGTATCCGGTTTAACAAACAAAAGATACATTGCTTTCCCCTTGTCCAAGCCATCTACATAGATGCGATTATCATCTTTTTCATGAGAGAAACGACAATAAAGAACATAATATGTCAAAAAGAAACAGAAATAAGAATTTCACTTGTTCATCACGGGCACAAGCAGATTATAAAAGAATGTCTTCCTGTGCAAGTCTTCAGCAGTTGAAGGCATCATCTTCGGCCGCCCGCCCGAAGTACCGGAGCTTCATCAAAGAAAGATAAAAATGATTATTGAATTCTATATCATACATGATCTTATAGATAAAGCAATATATTATATATACCTTGTGAGCAACTCAATAATTGGTTCATCAGAAATGATGTTGGAGGAATCCCCATTGGCGATTCGCTCGATATAAACTTTGATATCTCCATAATTCACCACAGGAACTTTATTCTTGAAAGCCTGCATGTCACACTGTCCATTAAGGAAGGAAGCCCTTGAGATATTCCGTATGCGCATTTCGTGTTATTATTTCCTCCAACTGCTGTATTTGGTGAACATTTTGAGTCAGGTCCTCCAGGATCTTCATGCCGGCTTCGTTGTCGTTTGGATCATAATCCGGCAACATGGCTGGCCACCGGCAAGGATTACCTCTCGGCATTTGGTTACCGTCTTTGGTTATTCTAGAACATGTCCTCAATTGATGTTTAACCTACGAAAAACAGCATAAAAAACACACACACAATAACTTAGTGTCTTTGAAGAGACAAGAGATGACAGTCTATAAAGCAACCTTATCAACTTAAAACCAGACAATGAGAATGGTAAGAGAAGACCAGAGGCATGGAACATACCGCTGTGGCATGCACTCATATTTAAAAGGCAAGGCCGTTCTCTTTCTCTCTCTGAGAGCTGGAATGTGTTCCTAGGGAAGTGCTGATGAGATGAAGGGGGGAGGGGGGGGGAATGATTAAATAACAGATTCTTGGAGGCTTTTTAGAAATGCCGTATAATAAAAAATGGGTAAACTACTCTCATTCACCACTCAACTATATTTCCACTACTATTTTGGTCATTAAAACTTAAATTTTCTTTAATTTAATAATTATACTTTTAAACTACTCATGTTTCATCGGCTTACTTTATCAATATTTTTACGATGTGAGTTGTTTTATTTAAGAATTTTGTGGTAGGAAAGGGTAACGAGGGTGAGACCGTCGAGGGTCGAGTCTCCTATCGCCTAGCGGGAATTTTCTACATATATAAAGACTCAAACTTGAGACATTACTTAAACGATATCAAACTGCTTATTACTTGAACGAACCCGTTGATATTTTATAATCACTTTAATAAAAAAATTACTAAAAAGAGTTACTGATATTCGACTGCTACATGTGAAATCACTAGGTATTCCTCATAGTGGGTAGATTTTAAAGTCCAATATACATGGACTTGTCCGCATTTGGACCCTAAAGTTCGATAAGAAACCAATTAAAGGCTATTGCATTTAGAACCAAATAGATATCCGTTGCTATCTACATATTTAGTCATCCGACTATTACAATTTTTTCATTTTAATCACTCAATTATTAAAATCCGCTAGACGTCAAACCAATTAACTGCAACTATTACAATATTGCAGTTAAAAAGATAACGAAAATGATGAGATGACCTGATTAATCATGTATATAATTATTAAGTATTATATATTTTATCAATTTAATCTTACTTTAAAATAATTTAACAAATTAAATTATTTATATTTGTCAAATCTATCAATTTAGACGTCAAATCCGCTAGTAAAATTGCAGTTCAGAAAATAAAAAAAATGAAATACCACCAATACACCAACCGCACCATTATTTATGTTATCTTTTTAATGGTCAGTGATAAAAAATAATTAAAATATTTTTTAATAGTTTAAATACAAAAATAGAAATATAATAATAATAATTAAATGATTAAATAAATAACTTACCCTGTATTTTATTCAACCATAAACAGCTCGTATCTCGGTACTAAAAAATTAATTGACCCTATTCTCATATGTAATGAGGTGAGGAAGATGTAAGGTAGTAGGCTGCCCGCAACGTCAGATTGAGAGCAACTTCCGTGAAAGACCTCCAGCAGTCAAAATTATTATTTAAAAATATTATAAAAGTATCAAAATCCCCAAAAGGCGTAGCTTATGTTTTCAGTTTACTTGTGCTAAAGGGAGGGATATACCCCATAAGCTAGTAGCTACAGTATCTTCACATCTCTAGAACATGGATACACACTTGACCATATCAGCCTTTGTTCTCAAAGGAAAAACTATATGAAAAAAAACCCCTAAGCCTAGTTTCAATTACGACTAAAAGAATTCTAATTTATCTTATAAAATGACTCAACTTGTTCTTTTTAAGGAAAATTATAGTATTCTCAGTCAATGCAACTCATCTCAGTCTCCCATCTTTGAATAATTACACAAATCGACAAAGCATTATTCTATTTATTTTCATAAAACCATCATTAATATATTTGATAATGATTTTTCAATTCTCAAACATTAAAAAACTATCTCAAGTATCAATTTATTAAGTTGGTTAATACTATTAACATTTAAGAAACTGTTTTTTTATTAATATGAGCTTTGTGATAAGTACAAGGCAATATTTGTTTAAAAATATCTTTCAATCATTTGATATTAAACACTTATACCTCTGATATTTCTAGTGCTTGAACCTGAAACCTTAAGAAATAACAATAATTTATTTACCACTAAGGTCAGTCGTAAATGACATGATATGGATAATTTTTTTTTTCTATAATTAATAATCCTTGGTAACTTAGATTAGGTATGAGGATTTGACCTTTTTTTCAAGTAGGAATAGGAAACATGATACAAATCCTATTACTCTTAAACAAATTAACATATAGAGACAAAATAATGGGGCTAATGGAGTCCGGAAACCGAGAATGAGGAAAGACCATATTAATTCAATTGGAAAATGGACGACAAATTAGCAAAGTGGCAATTATTAGATGGTGAGAAGATAGTGCATGCATGCTCCATATCCAAATCCCAAGGCATTTTCACGTTAAATTTGGCGCCCCTTGTTATAAAATATACATTGTCTCTCCTCAAAAGTCTTTGCATATTTTTGACCTAATAGTGTGCCAAGTATATATTGGAATCAAATCGAGCCAAGTACTGCAAAGGATAAAGACTAAAACGAGGATAAATTACTTCTACATGTAATGTGTAATTTATGCATAGTTTCAATAATAACACAGTTCATAATGCGCAATCAGATAAATTAATTCCACATCATTCCAAAATTTAATAGGGATGGTTGGTATGACATCAATAACAACACATTTCATAATGCTGTCATATTTTTTTTGACTTGTCATCATAATCAAATATGTTAGATTTGTAACGATGATACTTTGGTTATGACATTATAATATAAAGCAAAATACTGGTACCGTCTATATATTTTACGTGGGTCCAATTAGGTCAAGCATACTGCTAATGCTGATTAATTACTATGTAAATAGATAGGTCTTCCTAGTGAATTGTTTTGTTCAGAAAAGCATGCCCTATGTGTCCTTCCCACATGCCTCCCCCCTTCATTTCATTTAAATGTGTTGATATACATGCTAATGCCGATGCTCCAATGCTTCAAAAGCAAAAATATCGAGAAAAAGCACACATTTTTGGTTTAAAAAAGCTGAGAAAGAGTGTGGAACGTATCATTATATTTGGGATGCACATGGCTGAAATTATATGATATTGGGGTTGTTTTATTTATTTGTGAAAAGCTCAGTTGCATTAGTCGTAGGGCACCATGACCTTTTCTACGTGTTTAGAGAACTACAAGTAATATATAGATATATTTTCTGTACATTGTTCGTATTCTGACGAAATAAAAAGCTTTGAGACTCGTATTATATGACCGAAAGATGAAAAGGTGAGGGAAAAGATACATGTGGAAATGATGGGTACTGACAAGTGAATCAAGAATGATGATTATGGGAATGATATTTGGATTCTGATCATATTGATCATGGTGCTGCTGCTTATAAACCTTTTTCGAATGAAGTTATAGGCGGAGTCATGTAGATTTTCAAATAAAGTGATAAATATTAAAAAGAAATTTTGTTATATCTCTTTCAAAATTCATCTCCATCTCAAATTTTTCAGAAGATTTAGAAATATCTTTTAAATTTTAATTTCTCATACATATTTCTGAAAGACGTGTTGAAAACGTCTCCGAAAGAAGACTAAAATACCTACCATCCAGGAAACTACGACAACTTAGAATGACTTTTGATAGGTCCAAATAATCTACCATAGCTAAATCTACCGACAATTAATCATATCCACATAGTTGTCAATTTATGAGTAATTATTATGATTTTATGTTTGATACAAATACTAAAAATCACTATAAAATCTCTCGATCAAGACCGAGAGAAAGAATAAAATCTTCTTTTCTTCATTTATCTCTCTCCTACCTCGAGACAAAACCTTCACACCAACCAACTACTATCTAACCACAAATAAAAAGAGGTGAATCACCTATAACCGTCAAAATCTACTTGTTTCCATCAACAATAATATATTAACTCTTTTTATCCGGTGTTCGTTATACTCAATTTTAGTACTATCATTTTAAGTTTAAATTCAAATTCTCTTTTTAAAAATATAAAATATTTTATGATTATATATAATATTTGTTTACTTACAAATATAATATATATAATACCAACAACAAACACGTGATTTTTAAATTAGGAGTTAGATTTATAAAATTTTAAAAGGAGATAAACATATGAAAAATAAATAAATTTTTAATATAAAATATAAAAAAAAATAAAAATATATAAAATTTTTGAAAATTTTAAAGTGATGTTATAATATAAAATAATTTTTATAATATTCAGCATAAATATGTTTTTTAAGTTAAAACTCACACCCTCTAGCTCGCGCATGTTATAGTCTTTGGGGAGAGATATTATAGTCTCGACTTTGATGATTGGAAGTCAATGAAAATTTGCAAGAAAGTTTATTGAAGCAGCACTTGTCAATCATGGTGATTATATTAAACCGGTGATGAGCCCATGATTGCACTTCCTGCAGGAGAAATCAACAGGATGCTCAAACTCATGGTCCAAAGGACATGATTGAACTCCAGGTAGATGAATCGTGAGTTGTAATGATCATAAAATCACCTGAACACTCCCTAATCAAACCCCATGATTACAGGTCAAAGTTATCAAATTTCTTAAAATTATTCAAAAAATTTAATATAAACATTATGACCATAAACTAAACTGTATTAGATATTCTATAACAGCTATAAATGATAAAATAAACTTTAATAAATAATATTTTATCGAAAGGATTTTGAATAAAAGAAATGCATACGAATGGAATCGAATCATGTCAAGCGTCCCTTTTTTCTTTACCTTGACATGACCACTAACATGCTTATATGATTTATAAGTTATATATGATCTTAACCAAATTAATGCCATTTGGATGCCGTTTAGTGCAAGCACCTCATTAGAAACAATAGCAGAGGTATAATTCTCGAACATCATGTATATCATTAGAAATACTAGAAAAGTGCCTTTTGTATTGAGCGACTCATAAATCATAATGAAGGGCAACTGTGCTCATGGGAGTTTACGAGGGTCCAATCAGAAGCAAGGCCCCACACTAGGATCATAGTGCTAGCGTGGGAGAGATTGTTCTTTGCTCACTCATATTCTAGGAATTAGAAGAACTAAACTTTAATTTCCCCCCTATTTAAACACAAATGCAAATGGCTGATAAACAAGCCCCAAGTATTATTGCTCTATTCCATTCCCAAGAACTAGAAAGGCAGCAGAAGCACAAAAGTTACATATTTTCTTTCTTTTATCTTCATGGATTTCAAAAACTCAAAAACCAACTCTCCTTCTCCTTCTCCTTCTTCTAAAACCAAAAGAAAGCAACAGCAACAGCAACCTCAGCAGCAGCTGCAGCAACAAGAGATACGATTCTTGGGAGTAAGGAGGAGGCCATGGGGGCGATACGCAGCGGAGATAAGAGACCCTTCCACGAAAGAAAGGCATTGGCTCGGCACGTTCGACACTGCCGAGGAAGCCGCCTTAGCCTACGACCGTGCCGCTCGCTCCATGCGTGGCTCCAAGGTTCGAACCAACTTCGTTTATTCCGATATGCCGGTCGGCTCATCGGTCACCTCCATCATTTCTCCTGATGAAACACACCATAACATGTCATCCATTTTCCCCATTAAACCACCTGTTAACCAACAAATGGATACTAACTGCCAGAACCAGCTTTTCTTCACTCAAGACCCTTTCAATGCCTGGAACCAAGAGAGTAGTGATACATTAGTGTCTTATAAGCCCATTACTGGGGTCATGGATACCGGAAACGGTGGTTCTCAACAGTTTAACGACGACTGTGAGCTGCCACCTTTGCCCCCCGATGTCTCCTCTACTTGTTACGCATCTGAAGTTGCTGGTTCAGATATGATCAGTTATGATTCGTGGAGTGGTTCGGGCCTTCTTGGGTTTGACACGGGAGTGAGTGAACCATATTTCGGCTTTAACTCTTACGAGTTCATGCAGCACATGCACATGCCCTCGGTTCCTGATACGGTAACTGAAGAATTTGATTTGGGTTCATCTTCATCATCCTCGGGTTACTTCTTTTAATAGCTGCAATAGTTAACAAATGGTAAATTGCAACTACAACTTCTGTCTTATGTTATTGAAGAACGTGTGGGTTTAGTTTTGGGATTTTGTTGTAATATGACTTTCGTTTATTTTTAATGGTTTTGGTGGTAATTAAGTACCGGTTTCTTGGGGGGTTGTTGGATTTGGGTCCAGTTTGTGGGGGAAATGGTCCTGCTTCCAAGCCTTTTTCTGTGGTTCATGTCATGCCTTTTTGGTCGAGGTTGTGCGGGGCCAGATAAAATCGCCCTTTTTGGTCGAGGTTGTGCGGGGCCAGATAAAATCACACCATCAGAAGCAGTAATTTTTTTGGTTAACTTTTGAATCGACCTACACATGTTCTTAATTAGGCATTGTTGTAATTGGTGTTAAGGAATTTATGGACGAAAATACGACACTAACACGAGAAAGAACAATAAGAAAATCAATCAGAATATTACCTAACTCACCCAACTCCTACAGATTACGTATGCCTTCACTGTGTCCTTTTAATCTTCCTTCATAATTAGTTTCCATAATTACAATCCCCATCCTTCCCCCATTGCTTTTATTTAAACCTGATCCAGGCTTCATCCCTACCAGCCACTTGCTGCACTTGACATCGGATAAAATGGCTTTTAGAGCAACGGTATATGTGCTTCTAACATTGGCCTCCTGCTGTTTATTTTGCTCTACATGATATGATAAAATGAATGGTGTTGCAGGGTTACTGGAAATCAATGATTACCTCATTGGAAAGGAATTCGAACCGATCCTTTGCCTCGTCGATGATGACAAATCAGAAGGCGAAACAATATTCCACTGCCTCGAAAAGCAGATCCAAATCATCGCCCTGCCAACAAGTCGGTTTAAATTTTAATCAGGATTCTTGTTTTGTTTTTTTGAATCAAGAGGGACATGGTGAAACATGTTGTGCAGGCATTGGGACAACATGCCGATTTATATGGTGATGGGAATGGTTTCAGTGTCGGTAATGATCGCGGCTCACACGGCGAAGCAGCAGTTGAGGCATCGCCCTAATGTGGTGATCACCAAGACGAGGAGGGAGTCTATATCAGAGCTTGACAATCCTGGTCAAGCTAGTGCTTCTGGCCATAAGTTCTTGGACAAGTCTTTCCTCAGAAAAGTGGCTCACCTTCAGGACCGCAAACATTAAACCTTTTCACCACATTAATCATTTAAATTTTTGGTTTGGTATTCGATCTATTAATCGATTAATCCGAATCAGATAATACCAAATCACTACCAAATGAGCTTCTTCTTCTAGGTGTTTTCACTTTGTTAATAGCTTTCATGTGTTGGTTCTAGCTCTTTTCGGCTAATTGTTAATAACTACCAAATGTTTTGTTTATAATTATAATTGTAACTTAAAATAAATAAATAAAATAATCTTTCCGGCTAATTTGTTGGCGTCTCGTACAGTAATAACATTGTTAAATCCGAAATCATGAAACCTCAATCCATGGATATGTCCAAAGACAATTGCAACAATCAAGAATGACAAACACAAACATGCCGGTTTGTGATGCTTGGTGGATCATGATGGAAGCAGGTAGATAATTAATATTACATGCATGATATCATGATATCATCTTAATAAGTTCCAACAGAAGGCAAAACTTTGTCTCTTTATTTGGAATTTCTCCTTTGGAAATGGCTTCACCTGCAATAATCTGGTTAAAATGCAAACAGTGGCTAGTAGGCGCTACTAATGATTCAGTTCTACAAGTTCACTTACTTGTCAACCACACGACAAACACACCCAACTTTCAATGTATATTTTATTGATAGGTGACGTTTACAGAATTATTTGATGGAATGATGTTGCTATCAAAGAATTCTAATTCTGGTTTAATTTTGAATACATGGACCATGGTGTTTGATCGTGATTGGTATGGAAAAACTTTCTTCTTTTTGTCTGCTACCTTATCTGATTCATATATTATCAGCTGCCTGTTAGCATTCATCAGTATCAAGTCCAGCTAAACATGTCAAACTTTGTGCAGGATTTTGGAGAAGATGAACATCACAGCACTGTCGTCTCGCAGTCGTCTAACGAGAGTCCGAATCCTCTTGAACATCCTATCCCCACAAGTTCGAAGAGAAAACGAAATCTTCCAGGGAATCCAGGCAATCATGCATGCCCTATCTTTATCTTTGATTCAGATACTTCCGGGAACTTTAATCACCGAGTTATTATTCATTTTTTTGGAAAATTTTCAGATCCTGATGCGGAAGTGGTAGCCCTGTCGCCGAGGACTCTAATGGCAACTAACAGGTACTTATGTGAAGTCTGTCATAAAGGATTTCAACGAGACCAGAACCTTCAGCTGCATAGGAGGGGACATAACTTGCCTTGGAAGCTAAAGCAAAGAACAAATACTGAGGTGATGAAGAAAAGGGTTTATGTATGTCCTGAGCCAAATTATGTTCATCATCATCCGAGCCGTGCTCTAGGCGACTTGACCGGCATTAAGAAGCATTTCTGTAGGAAGCATGGAGAGAAGAAATGGAAGTGTGATAAGTGCTCTAAACGATATGCTGTTCAATCAGACTGGAAGGCACACTCGAAGATCTGCGGTTCCCGTGAATATCATTGCGATTGTGGCACGATTTTTTCGAGGTATGTAGCATATTACTCTGTAAATGATCTGAGGGGCTTGTAATTATTTTTCTTTTCAATCCATTTGTTTCTTATAGGAAGGACAGCTTCGTCACACATAGAGCCTTCTGCGATGCACTAACGGAGGAAACTTACAAGGTGAACCGTAACTATGCTACCACAGGAGGAATTTCGCCACAAGAGACGATGCCTAGTTCCGATTCATGTTCCAATGCCAACACAAAGACGAACCTGTCGATTTCGAACGAGAAAATGAACATGTCCAACAACAATTTAAATCAAACGTTCAATCCAGGAACATCCCTGTCTTCTACTTTTGCAATAGGGTCTGCTTATACATCCGCGACGGCCTTGTTACAGAAAGCTGCAGAAATGGGTGCTAAGATCAGTGATACTACAATCGCCCCGGTACTATTCCGAGGTTTTACCGGATATTCTACCAGTACCATCATCTCAACCGTGATGGTCCAAGACGGTTCTTCCATGGTTGGTAGTCACATAGAAACGAATGGTGCCAGCACCAATGTCCTGTGTCTGGGAGAAGAAACATATAACAAAAGATCTCACAATACTCTTGCTCCGACCGCCTTGTTCCATACTCATTTTCTACAGGCAGAGAATGGAAAATCTGCGAATCTGTTGGGAGAAATGTACATGGAAGGCGGCGAAAAAACGACGGTCAATTTCTTAGGTGTGGAGCCAACAGGGGATCAGAATGTGGATACAGAAAGAAGGTATGACGGAAACGTAATGAACTTAGGGTACTCCAATGAGCAGCAACAGCTAAATCTGAACAATTTGCATGCAAACTGGTAAACTGCTGATTGTTGAACTGATATTTTCGAGTTGTCAAATTATTAGTGATGTTCTCGTTTCAGTATTTGGTTGACATAATCGGAAAGAAATAACCATTTTAATTGAATTTAGCAGTACAAGGGAGATGATGTAACATACATTGTTTCTGCTAATACCATTTTAACCAATGATGTTCTCGTTTCAGTATTTGGTTGACATAATCGATCATCCCATTACCATTCACCAAGTGGAGTCTGAGATAATTAATTACAATTATAGTATCACTTTGTCAAATAATATATATATATTAAAAAATAAAAATATTTATATAAATATATACCGCCCTCAAATTCATGTCAAAGAGAACATAGATAATAAAGTCCTATTGGTAATTCAACTAATAATTACAAATACAGTGAAAAGCCAGGATTTAAGCTTTACGAGAGGAGAACAAATTCGTGTTTATCAATGAGCCTTTATTCCCCCACTAGTAAAATCAATATTCAATTTCATATGCTCCTGAAACTAGAACTGGATTCCATCCTTTTAATTGATCACAACAATCATAGCCATAAACTGAAACCAAAAATGGCTAATCCTGATTTAACTGTTCTGGTCCTCAACCTTTCTCCTACAGCCACTCTCGGAGACCTCAATGCATATTTCTCCAACTGTGGCCATGTCGAGAAAATCAAGCTTCTGGGGTAATTACTTCAAACTTCTACACCTTAATTAATTGCTCCATATCTTTTTTCCTTACATTTTGGTCATTTTGAGCAGTGCAAATAGAGATCAATCACAGTTAGCTCTGGTATCTTTTAGGCAGCCATATGCTTATCAAGCAGCTCTTCTCCTTAATGTAAGGGAAAAAATTACGTTCAAGTTAGCATTTTTTTTTCGTTTGTATTTGATGTGTGGACTAGCACTTGGTTTGCACTTCGCAGAATGCTGTTTTTGCAGGCCAGCCAATTTGAGTTCTGCCCAAGAAGGACGATGCGGATCCTCCTGTCTCATATAGAACAATTCCTATTGTTTCTGAGGTAACTTTCTTTTCCATGCCAAAGAAAGTTTATCTGTTTTTATTTGTATCTTATACATTCGATGCAGCAACATTTAGAACAACACCACCAGAGGAAACATTCCGGTACTTCGAGCCGTGGCGGATGCGCTGCTTTAAATGCTTCTAATGTATTGGTCACTCTTAAATGCTTGTTGCTTTAATGCAGAGATTTGCTGCATTCCTGGCCCCTCTGACGATAGGTCGTGTGAGTATTGCATCCTGTGCCGTTTATCTATCAAAGGTATCTTCAGTGTTTTTCTTTAAGCATCTGATCTGATCCTTTTTATTGGCAGATGAGCATTGCAGGCAACTGATATCATTTCTCTTGGTTTTAGGTCGGTTTAACGATTGCCATTAGGTGTGCGCTAACAAGGCCGGCCTTTTCTCTTAAACCGAATGAACCTGAGGCCTTATTGCTTGATTACCCTAGTCATCAACGACGACTCTTGCCTCTTCTTGCAAAGACGTACGTATATAAGGCGCAAATGAGTTCTGCTATGTCCGCACATATATCACTTCCGTTCAAATCATGTCACGTAATAAATTACAGACTTCTGCCGCAGGTACGCTATGAGTTTTGCGTCGAAGTACTTGAAAATATTGTATGTGAAGAGGACTCCTCAGTCATACAAAAGCATTCATGTATTTTCAAGTTCGTTCAAAACTACTTTTACTTGGAGTAACCTGCACATACTTCAGGTGAGCAACAAGATGATCAAGACTTTATATATATATATATATATATATATATATATCTTAACAGTAAGTGTGTTATCAAGGTTCCATTGTCGAATGCTTCAGGAATGCCGTAAAGCTTGTGGAGGAAAAGGATTAAGTTCTGAGAATCATGTCGGTCAAATGAAAGCTGAATACGACGTGCAGGCCACTTTTGAGGGGGACAGCAACATTTTGATGCAGCAGGTAAATATGGGTTTCTAGTTTCGTGGCCATTGTGTTTCATTCCTATTCACGTAGATCGTACGCATCATTTAACTCAGGTCAGCAAGGCTCTACTTGCTGAACATGTGGTAGCTAAGAAGAGAAAGAAGGCTTTCAAGGGTCTAGGCTTAGAACACATGAATAAGCCCTGCCCTCTCATTCCATCACAGCTTACTTGCACAGCACTCCATTCGAGTAAATTCCAGGTAATATAACCAGTTTTTCCATTCTTATTCTTCCATATTAAGATTTGTGAGTATCTGACCGTTGGCATATGTCGGATGCCTTGTGCTTAAGGGAGAGAGATCTTTTGAACCGATTAGCAGTCGAGGTCTCGCACCATCAAGCCAAGGGACTAAGTAAAGAGCATGCTTTCAATATGGTGAGGAAGTAGTTATGTTTATGTAAGTTGGCTAGTCTTTTCTTCACCTTTTAGTCTAATTCTCTCAATCACTTTTGTACAACAGAGTTATCAAGTAGCAGAGGACTTGAGCAAGCTTTCACGGACCGAGCAATATTCCAAACGTTTGCCGAGGCAGAAGCAACTTTAGCTGCCGGTCCATTGAAGGTGAACATAACATGCGCATCCACTTGTTGTCCAGTCTAAACTATTAAAGTGCATTAGTCGGTGTTGAGTCTTCATTTTGGTTCTTGTGCAGGATGTGCAAGGCATGTTGAGATCATTGTATGGACTAATATGTCTCAAAGATTCCGTATTTCTCCGATACGGGTACCTATCGGTGGACAACGGTGCTCTGGTGGGGAGAGAAATAAAGAAAACATGTGGCGAAATTCGGCCACATGCACTTGCTTTAGTGAGTTCCTTTGGCATTCCTGATGCTTTTCTGAGCCCTATAGCTTTCAACTGGATTGATGCAAATTCATGGGCTTCGGTTCAGCACTGATAGGGTGTTCTCCCTACCAATTCCAGCACTGATAGACCTACTCATTTAGTAATAAGCGAGCCTTCATCGGACGTTATAGCCAATGCAGTAGTGGTGTGTACACTTTATTGTTTTAATAAATATATAGGTTACTATTGAAAGGCTGTAAGACTGTGAATGAAATGAGAAAATCAAGTTACTCGAGTTCGATTCAATCAAACCTCGTTTAATATTTGATTTAAATAAATTCAACTCGAATTCTTAACGAATTAAAATGAGTTACTTGATACCCGACTTCAAAATTTTGAGAATAACTTGAAAAAACATTAAAATGTTAAAATTTTAAATTTTTAAATTAAAATATTAATAATATTAATATTTATATGTTTTTTTAAATACAATATAAGATTTTAATATATCTATTCAGAATTTTTTTTAATCATTGACAACAAACATAAACACAATTACTTGAACTCAAGACCTCTAGAAAAAACAACATTCGTTTTAACCGTTTAAACCACTTGATAGGTTATTATCAACCTGATGAAGTCAAACATGTGTTTTTAAAATATTCACATATTAACATTTAAAACAAAATAATTAATGTTATTGATCAATTAATAACATTATAAAAATATAGTATTAAATTATGTCAAATTAAAGTATAGGGACTAAATATTAAGTGTTAGGACAATAGGGGACGAAGACCAAAATTTGGTCCGAATAAAATAGTTTCACTTCCACAACCACGATTACTCTGGACGTGGCTGGCATGAATCAAGGAAGCAGGCCCTCAACCCGCTGGGAAATACGAATGACACTTATTTGAATACGATATTTACGGTTGCAATGTGTTTGCTTTATATAGACTGGAGCTGAAGCTTGCCAATCAAAAGAAGAGTCCGAAAGCAAAAGTTCCAAAGGATTCTTGCTGATCTGCAGAAGAAAATGGGAAGGCTCACTACTGAAGGTGAACAAGGAACTGCCACCGCAAATGTTGATTCTGCCCAAGATTAAGACTGACAAGTTTGAATTATGGTTCTAATGTTCAGAACAGAAGAAAGTAGACTAGATTGTTGTGCAGTTAGGATCCAATGTCCCATCTCTATAGATAGAGATCAAATATTGCAAAGTCATTCTCTGAAATTACTTCTCCTTTTAACCCTTCTTCGGTTACTGCTTGGTGGCTTCTATTCTAAAGGGAGACATCTAGTGCATCACTCATAAACTAGATATGGAATATACTGAGAGGGCAGTTGCATCAGCCCCATTTGCTTGCCTTTCATGGATTCTCCTATTAAGCCACCCTTCACCACCACCATTGTCAAATTTCCAAGGCAAGCTTTTCTTTTTAGGGCAAAAGCAGTGCAACAAGCCAATATGTAGGATACAAAGGATGAGGAAGAGAAAGTTACAAAAAAGTAGAGCCAAGAATCTCTCTTTCTCCCTGTTTTGTTTGATTTTGAAGCAACAAGACCTAATATTTGCATTCCAAGTAATGTATACTTCCAATTTAAGAAGCAACAACATGTGATACTTGTATTCCAAGTAATTTATGAAGATATTACTTCAGTGGGGCAGCCATCTTCATTGCCTTGCCCCCCCCCCCAAAAAAATCGGCAATCAAATATTTTTATCTACCAGACTCATTGCAAAGAAGCATTGAATAAAATTTTATGACATTGAAAGGATCTTCAAAGTACAACCAAGACAAATAACAAGGAGAGAAGCAACATTTAAGCCCCTCCATAACAACAGTTAAAGTGGTTGAACACAAAAAACAACATAAGCGTATTCTACACTCCATATGAACCTATTCTTATCAGTCAGGTAAACTTCTGAGCGCTCAAGGGAGTTTGGTCCCTCGATCCTTCTTATTAATTTAGCATATTACTCATGATGGTCCTGTCATTTGAGTTTTAGAAACACCTAAATGAATCTTACCTTGCACAAAACGAGATTCTATCGAATTTCCTGAAAAATAATGCAATTTACTATGGGACAGAGACAGCAGCCATTCAGAATAAAGCATCCATCTACGCCTTCAAGAAAGTTACAAGTTCTTCAGAGTGGTTCTGCAAGACGGCAATCATTTAGTTGGCAACTTGAAGATATAAACGAAGTTAAATGCCACTAATAACAAATTTCAATCAGAGCTACTTGTACCAAAAGACAGGTGATATCTCAATTTGAAGGCTAAATGTAGGAGAAAAACAGAAAACAAAAAGAAGAGCGTCAAAGTGCATAACGAAAGAAAGAGAAAATTAGAAACCTGGACAAGTTCAACTGCACAGAATGAGAAGGATGCCAAATGCTCAAACTAGTCGAAAGGAAATGGGTGAAAAAGAAATAAAATTCCTTTCCAGGTTCAAGCACCAATAATAACTTCATTCAGCAAGCATAAAACCTCAACAAGCACTCTAACGCCAGCAGATTTCAAAAAAATCTAGACCAAAATGATAAAAATATACTCCATAAACACATGACCAACATAACCTACCATCTTTCCCCCTTTTCTTGGCAAGAAGTGAACTAACATTTCAGCAACTCCATCAAACAAAAAAGCATTCTACGCCCACAAATTTCAAAAACATCTAGAACAAAATGTTTTACAGCATGTTTAGCTCACTTGTTTAGGGAGTAATGTTTGTAGATCCTTAGATGTGCACTCTAGGTTCAATTCTGACGAATGGTTAAGAACAAGGGAAAGAAAATAACGGGAGACAACAAGCTTCCTTCAAAAAAATTCCAACAATTTATTGTTTGTTTCCACCAGTAAGTCAAAGATAAGCTATAAAACTATATACACAAGAATTCGCACACTTGCAATAGAATAGCCAGACTCGTAAGGAAAATCATCAAAACATGAAACTCAAATACACAAAGATTTAGCAAAGCCTTGTATCTTTCATCATCTTTTACACCCTTTCTGATATTCATTTATTTTACCAATTACTTGAAAATGCTCCAATCGGCCCCAAAATGCAATCTCAAGGAATCCATTTTGACCAATCCAACTCGGTTTCAACTACATGGATACACAGCACTGGCTGCTTACTACATTGTTGATTCAAACTAGAGAGGGGACCAGAGACCAAGTCGATGCTCACAAGTACAAAATAAAATCAGAACAAAGTACATATCAATCGTAAAAAGAAAAACCATAAATGTAAAACCAGTTTTGATTTTCCAATGAAATTAAAGCTGATAAATTGTTTTTTCCCCTTTCAAAACTAATGTGAAAAAACCCGTTTTCCAAATTATAACACACAATGAAATCAGGAGGAGAAATCAAACATACCATCCACTAGAACTAGGGCGGCTTCCACTGGATCTGGGACGAGGAATCAATCCCAAATCTGATTCGCCGCCTCTTTTGATTTTCTCGTAACCGCCTGATTTGGGTCGCATAACTTCACCATAGTAACCCGACGACCCAAAATGCTTTATCCCCTGTTCTCTCCCTCGAAAGACTTTGGGTTCGGGTTTCTCCTCTCTCCCCGCAAAACCCGGCCTAAGATGAGGCGGAACGAACCGACCTGACTTCGCCGATCCAGAAACGAACACACCTTTCTTCTCCGGACCGGTAATTGAAATCCCAGAACCGGGTCGCAAAGAAATCTGATCAGATGATGGATGCTTATCCGGGACTAAAGACGATCGAGGTTGGGGCTGTTTGGGCAGCGTTGGAGACAAGACAGGGGGAGTCGAAACAGGCTTCGGGGAAGGACGGGTCAGGACGAGCATGCGGCCATGGGTTTTGACATTGCTGGCGGATGAATAAGAAGCAAAAGACGATTGGCTTTGGGGATTGGTTTGGGGATTCTTGTTGGAAGAAGAAGAGGAAGTCAGGTTTTTCTCGATGACATGGTTGAAATTGATAGAGGTATATTTGTTGGTTCTTGCCATCCACCACTATCTCCTCCAGCTTCTTTCGCCCCTTTCGTTTCGTTTATAGTTTCGATAGAACCCAATTTACAAGGAAACTTTTCGTTTGATGGGAAACAATTAACTTGAAGGTGGTGTTTTTATGATTACAAATGCTTTTATATATTTATTCTCGAAAGGATGTTTTCTTTTCTTTTTTCTTTTTTATGTCGGCTTTCGTGCTGCGAATCCGACGGCGATGTCGTTGCCGGTGATGTTCGTACCAAACATGGTTTTTAGAACCGGATCGATTAACGAATCGGTCATGTTATCGGTTCATTAGTTTAACCGGTCGAACTAGTCCGACTGATCAGAAGAACCGGACGACGTCATAATTATTTAAAAAAATTAAATAAAAATACCAAAAATATTTAATAAAAAATATTTTTTTATATCATAACATATATAAGTTAAAAACCATAAAATCAAGTGAAACAAAATGATTCAAATTAACTACAACATAATATTTATGGTAAAACATATTAAATAATAAATATAATTATATAACTATAATTAAAAAATAAATTTGGGGTTAAAAAAAGCATAACAAAATTATATAACTATAATTATATAACTATTCTTTCACTTCAATCAAGCTCGAATTTTAGGCTTCAATCGAGCTTTTAATTTTTTTTTGAGTTCAAGCCTTTTTGAGTTCAAGTTTTAATATTATATTTTGAGTTTGAGTTGAACTTGATAATTTTTAGCTTGTGAGTTTGAGTTGAGTTGAGCTTACTTTTAAAGTTTTCAAGTTCGAGTCGAGCTCAACAATTCTCGAGTTCGACTTGACTCGTTTAACAAACGACGTTGTTTGATTTATTTATTTTTAAAAAAAAACAAAAATCCCGGTTTTTTCCGATTTTTCCCAGTTTTTTCCGGTTTTCTGCCGGTTCGATTCGAACGGTTCAGCGGTTCTGGCCGGTCCACTAATAACGGTTCAACCAGTTTAGATTGAACCGGACTAAACAATAATTCCCGATTAAACCGATTGAACCAATCGATCCGGTCCGATTTTCAAAACAGAGGTAGCAAGGGGGAAGCGTGAATGCGCGGGGCTTTCATGTGGATAGATCTCAGCCGCTAAATCGCTTTTTAATTAATTCACTTTTTATTTAAAGTAAATTATATAAATGATCCTCAATTATAGTATAATATTTTGTTAAATCTCTTAATTATGAAAATTTATAAAATGATTTTTCAATTAATTTTTATGTTTGTTGCCCATCTATTTGTTTTATTTGGTTGAAACAATTTATCACGTTGAAGATTATTTTGTATGTCCTATATAGATTTGGTAATGTTCGACATGACATAAAACGTATATATATATATTATTTGCACTGATAAATATGTATTTTTAAAATAGTATTTAATATATTAATTTTCTAAAGAAAGCGATGCATTGCTCAGTGCATGAGATTGTTAATTATCTCTGTTTTGAAAATCGGATCGGACCGGCCGGTTCAACCAGTTTAATCGAGAACCATTGTTTAGTTTGGTTTAATTTAAACCGGTTGAACCGCTATTAGTGAATCAGCCAGAATCGTTGAACCGTTCGAACCGGACCGGCAAAAAATCGGAAAAAACCGGAAAAAACCGGGATTTTTGTTTTTAAAAAAAAAATTAAATCAAACAATATCGTTTGTTAAACGAGCCAAGTCGAACTCGAGTAATGCTGAGCTCGACTCGAACTTGAAAACTTTAAAAGTAAGCTAAACTCAACTCAAACTCACAAGCTAAAAATTATCAAGTTCAACTCAAACTCGAAATATAATATTGAAACTTGAACTCAAAAAGGCTTGAACTCAAAAAAAAAATTAGAAGCTCGATTGAAGCCTAAAATTCGAGCTTGATTGAAGTGAAATAATAGTTATATAATTATAGTTATATAATTTTATTATGATTTTTTTAACCCCAACTTTATTTTTTAATTATAGTTATATAATTATATTTATTATTTAATATGTTTTACCATAAATATTATGTTGTAGTTAATTTGAATCATTTTGTTTCACTTGATTTTATGGTTTTTAACTTATATATGTTATGATATAAAAAATTATTTTTTATTAAATATTTTTAGTATTTTTATTTAATTTTTTAAATAATTATAACGTCGTCCGGTTCTTCCGACCGGTCGGACCGGTTCGACCGGTTGAACCAGTGAACCGGTAGCATGATCGGTTCGCTAACCGATCCGGTTCTGAAAACCATGTTAATTATGCGTGAGATGCGGTTCGGCAACGACTTCCAGATGAAAATGTTAATAAAAAAATAGTTGAACTTTATTCCCATATGTAATGGGGTAAGGGGAGGTAGAATAATAGGCTGTCCCCAACGTCAGATTGAGAGCAGCTTTCGTAGGAGACCTCCGAATTATGTAATGTCTTTCGTGAGACTCGATCCTACGACCCCAATATTAAAAACTTTGTGCTCTACTAACTGAGAAAATGTTAATAAGCTAAACTCAAATAATAACAAGTTGTGTATAGTAGATTCAGGTTTAGATTTTTAGGTTTATTTGTAATTGTTTGATTGCTCTGAGATAAATAAAATTTGTATTTATTTAATAACTAAAAATAATTTATCTCTAAATTATTTTGAGTTTATAAAAATGTTCATAATTAGTATTTATCAAAAGTTTAGGAATTAAAATAAAATTTAAATTTTTTACTAGCATATTTTGTCATCAAACTAACAAATTTCACGTCTTAATAAAAAAAATTATAAGGGACTAAAATTTTAAATTATAAATTAAGCTAAGAAAATAATAAATATTAAACAAAAGTACCGATCTTATAGTTTACTCAAAATAATATCTCGATCTAAAATTTTTAAAAAATTTAATTAATTAATTAATTTAACTCTTGTGTTTAACTAACTCCACTACCGGGTCGGATCCATAAACCATAAACCCAAAATATAAAACCCCCCTATATTTATCCTTCTTTGACCCCCGAATCGCTCTTTTCCTCTGTTCAGCTGACCATTTTGCAGGTATTCCGATCTGCGCCTACCTCCTTTCTTTCTCATTATTTTTTCAGAGAAAAAGTTTTAGATTATATTTTCTCCGTTTGCTTGCTTAGAAATTTTGGGCGGAAGTGTAGAAATCAGCTTTTTGTTGCTAAACTTAGTGGTCTCTTTTGTATTTCTTCTATTAGCTCATATCTCTCGTTCAAGACAATGCTAGCCGTCGCTGTCTAATGCGGCAACATCTTGTTCTTTTGGAACTAGATTGTAAAAGAAGTAGTCAGCTTTGAGGGTCTTACTCTATTTTTTTTTTACTTTTACTTTTGTGGTTTGGTTTGAAATCCTGAGTGGGTTTTGTTTTTTTTTTCCCTATGTCGTTGAGGGGAACATATTTGCATTTTATGTAACTACAAATTCGTGTGGACGTGTAGATGGCCATGTTGGAATAGATATGTTAACGTGTTTGACCGAATCAGATTGAAATGAATGGAAATTTTCTTTAAATATTATGTCTATATAGATTGTTTAGCAACAAATTGTATGAATCAACATGTTTTGGCTGTTATGTTCTTTTTCATTTTATAAATGGCAGTGTTATGTTCATTGTGGAGGCAATATATTGTATTTTCATGTTGAGGAAACGGTTTGGCTTCTTACCCTCCTTTCTGAAAGATATGGCTTCTTATACTTTCCAGTCTCCACTACAGAGTTTTAGGTGTCAGCTTTATTTTGGGTTGCCACTTGTAAAGATGTATGTGTATGCTTAGTTGCTTTTTCTAAGTTAGAGTTGCTTAAACTATTATCTATCCCGCATTGGGTTAATGTTGACTTAGGCCCTCTTTGTTTATCACGTGGATCTTTTGTTTCTTAGCTGTTGTTAATTGGTTGATCCTTAATTGTCTTATTCAAAGTTCCAAATTTATTTGATGCTTTGTATTTGTTTCCCCATCGGGTTTTTCTGTAATTTGACATCCAAGGTTCAATGTTTCAGCATCGACAAAATGAATCTCAACAACCTCAAAGTTCCTAAGATGCCCGGAGGTGGAGCTCTTCCTGCTCTGCTTAAGATTGGAGTCATCGGTGGGCTTGGTCTCTATGGACTTGCCAATAGTTTCTACAATGTTGACGGAGGGCATAGAGCCATTGTTTTCAATCGGATATTGGGCATCAAAGATAAGGTCATCATTCTACCAGTTGGCATGTTTATTGGAATGTATCTCCTAACCATTATCTGCCGTTTGTGGATATTATCGTACTCTGCTTATAAACAATGTATATGGCTTCTATATGGAGTTGATTAGCTGGTAGCATAATGCTATTCTTTCTTGCATGACTAGAACTCTTCTCGATGTCCTATTAACGTTCTTGTTTACATTTTCCCCTCTTTTGCCTCTGTCTAGCAGCATGTCATGCAGTTAACTCTTGTTTCTGCAGGTTTATTCTGAGGGAACACACCTTATGATACCATGGATTGAGAGGCCTATTATTTATGATGTCCGTGCAAGACCTCATCTAGTTGAGAGTACTTCTGGTAGTCGTGATCTGCAGATGGTAAATCTAAGTTCCAATTTTCAGTAGGCTTTTTTCCCTATAATTTCCTCATTGCGGTTTAGTTCTCTAAATCTAAAATGACATCAACTGGGCTTATCAACTGGGCTTTTTTCCCAATTTTCATGCTTTTCCCATGTTGATGCTACAACATTTGTGCATTTCCGATGTTATATTAGGTGGAAATTGAAAATAGAAAAATGTTGTAGGATGTAAAGCCTTAATTACACACCAAACTTGCTTCTGAACTATCCTCTGCAGGTCAAGATTGGGCTTCGAGTTCTCACTCGCCCTAGGTCAAATCAGTTAACTGAAATCTATCGAACCCTTGGTGAGAACTATAATGAGAGGGTCCTTCCTTCAATCATTCATGAAACTTTGAAAGCTGTTGTTGCTCAATACAATGCTAGCCAGCTCATTACTCAGAGAGAGGTACATATCCTGTTATGCATTTTCTATGCACTAATAATAGAATAAATCGTTTGAATTAATCATGTGAAGTTGAACTATTCTGGTTTTAGAATGTTAGTAAAGAAATTCGGAAAATTTTGACCGAAAGGGCAGCTAACTTCAAC